CCCATCCCTAGTCGTCCCTGGTCACATATCGCCTTGGACTTTGTTACCGGTCTGCCTCCCTCCCAGGGTAACACCACAATTCTCACCATTGTTGATAGATTCTCTAAGTCTGCCCACTTTGTAGCTCTTCCTAAGCTCCCTTCAGCCTTGGAGACCTCCCAACTCCTCTCTGTACACGTTTTCCGGCTACATGGAATCCCTTCTGACATAGTTTCTGACCGCGGTCCTCAATTCACCTCTCGAGTGTGGAAGGAGTTCTGTCAATCCCTGGGAGCTTCTGTCAGTTTAACATCCGGATATCATCCCCAGTCAAACGGTCAGACTGAGCGAACCAACCAGGACCTGGAGTCAGCCCTCCGCTGCATCGTTGACCGTAACCCCTCTACCTGGAGCTCCCATCTTCCCTGGGTTGAGTACTCGCATAATTCCCTAACGTGTTCTGCTACTGGTCTCTCCCCGTTTGAGGCTTCTTTGGGGTACCAGCCGCCCCTGTTCCCTGAAGAGGAGAGAGAACTAGCAGTTCCCTCGGTCCAGCAGCATATTCGTCGTTGTCAAAAGATCTGGAGAGACACTCGCTCTGCTCTCCTCCTGACTTCAGCTCGGAACCAACAGTCGGCCAACCGCCACAGACAAGCTGCTCCTCCTTACGTCCCAGGTCAGTCTGTCTGGTTATCTTCCAGGAACATTCCTCTCCTCACAGAATCGAAGAAGTTGTCTCCACGCTTCATTGGTCCCTTCTCCATTCAAAGGATTATTAACCCCTCTGCAGTCCGGCTGAAGCTTCCCAGAACATTGAGAGTCCATCCTACTTTTCATGTCTCCCAGATTAAGCCTGTTCACACCAGTGACTTGAGCCCTCCGGCCGTTCCCCCTCCTCCCCCCCGAGTCATTGATGACCATCCTGCCTACACAGTGCACCGTCTCATGGACGTCAGGCGCCGGGGCAGGGGCTTACAGTATTTGGTGGACTGGGAGGGTTACGGTCTCGAGGAGCGATGCTGGGTCCCTCGCTCCCGAGTCCTGGACCCTGTAATGATAAGGGCCTTTCACAGGGCTCATCCAGACAAGCCTGGTGGTCGCCAGGAGGCTCCCGTTGAGGGGGGGGTACTGTGAGGATCTGCAGTACTTCCTCCTTCTTTGCCACTTCTATGTTTGTTTGTCTTCCTGGCTGGGCGTGGCTGACCTACATTCTGATTCCCGCCAACTCATCTCCACTGCTGTTGTAAATCTCACTGATTGCCACTACTCACCTGCACCTGCTTAAGACCCTGGTTCCCATCCTCAGACTTCGCCAGTTCTTCGTTTATTCTTCAGTGGTAACTATCGTCCAGGCCTACTAGCAGTATTCTAGTAAACCTTTTGATACTCCTAGTGAAAGGTTATTCCTTTCTAACCCTGCATCTTTATTCTTCCAGACCTACACACACCTGCCGCTCTGCTTGCCACGTCCAGCCTCCGACTCCTCGTCTGAGTTCCCTCCGTGCTTCCACGCACACCAGCTCATCCAGACTACGTTCGCCAGCTCTGGATTCCCGGCTCTCCTCGTCGGTGTTTCCTCCGTGCCTCCACGCACACCAGCTCATCCAGACTACGTTCGCCAGCTCTGGATTCCCGGCTCTCCTCGTCAGTGTTTCCTCCGTGCCTCCACGCACACCAGCTCATCCTGTCTACATTCGCCAGCTCTGGATCTCCGGCTCTCCACGCCGGTGCTCCCTCCGTGCATCTCCGCACCTCCGTCTCCCCCTGAGCTATCCAGCTCCACGTCTGTCTCCTCTGAGCTCCTCTCTACACCTTGCCTGTGCCGTGGTCAAATAAAGACTATTGTTTGACACTTCACCACTGTCTCCGTCTAGTGTTTGCGTAGCGGGTTCTCATCTCCAGTCACTTCTCGGGAAGCGTAACACTTAAGCCCTGAGCCTGTTTTTCAGGTCTCAGGCTCGAAAATGACATTCCCAGAACAAATGACCATATCTTCCCTTCTAAAAGGGTTAAATTAATAATCTTTATTCTCAAAGTAATGATAAACCTGTGAGTTGGATGTAGAAAAGTCAGAATCAATATAGATGTTTTTTATTTTAAAGAAAATTCAGATTTTACATAGTAAAAAACTGTAAATTATAGTGTCCGTCCAAAAATTATTTTTTACTTATAGTGAAAACTACCCTTGGATGATGGGTTAGTAGACTAAAAGCTTTAGGAATCCAAAGTACAACATATAATAAGTACCCTGTATCAAGATTGATGCAAAACAAGTGAAATTTGACCTTTTTAGAGAGATTTAGCCAAAAACCCCCACTTCTGGGGTCATTTGGGTGGATTTGACCTATCTCTGGCCCCCCTTGCTCGATTTTGATGAATGCAATCTCTTTATAACCGCTAGAGCCAATGGAATCGAGGGAAAGTTCTATACACACCAACACATTAACAAATAAGGAGTGAGAGTGACGCGTGACCAAAACCGGAAGCTGCATACACTCTGGTGGCTACCATTAGCAGCTAACTTTTCCGCTCCGATCTTTACATAAAAAATGGATTTATGGATTATAAATAATTTTTTAAAAGGTACAAGTACATTATCAACCTATGGATCAACAGTTGTAGATATTTTTTTTTTCGTTTTAATGCCATTGAACACGTCTTTTGACCTAATTGACAGCTACGGTGAGACGATCTGCCGTAAAAGCTCCGTAAAGGTACGTGTTGTGATGTCTGTGTTTGCTTCCCCTGTCGCAAGTTCGGATCGCTCAGTGATGATACTATACCTAAATAATCAGTGGAGTCTCAGCTTTAATCGGCTATATTGTATGTGCAGCTACGATAAGTAATAAGGGTATCTTTATCTTGAATTGTGTGCCGCAGTGCGTTAGAATTTTTTCGCTCAGGGGTCATTTAGACCCTTCTTATGAGACTTGTGTTTTGTTTTGGTAAAAATGGTTCATATCTTCAGTTAGCTGAGATTCTTCCCGTTAATCTGGTGCTACACATTAATAGTTTCATAAATGTTAAGAAGCCCTGAGACATTATCTCGAAAACAAAAAGGTGGGAGGGGTCCAATGGGGGGACCGCCGTGCTTAAGAGGTTAATGAATTCTTTGTAAATGTGGGGCCAGATCTGGCAGAAAAAATTAAAACCGTAGAAACAACTAAAGGGGAAGATACGGACCTCTGGAATGAAAATAATAGCTCTTTCTTCCTCACACCAGTCGAAAAAAAAGAAATCATTGATACTGTGCGAAAATGTAAAAGCAAATCCTCGACCGATTGGAATAATATTGATACGATTATAGTAAAAGACATTATTGAAGAAATTGCAGAACCATTGACTCATCTCTTTAACTTGTCTTTTCAATCTGGTAAATTCCCAAATAAAATGAAAATAGCAAAAGTTATACCATTATATAAAACTGGGGATAAACACCATTACACAAATTACAGACCTGTTTCATTGCTCTCTCAGTTTTCCAAGATCCTTGAAAAGCTTTTTACAAAAAGACTTGACAATTTCATGGAAACACATCAGCTTTTGGACGACAGTCAATATGGATTCAGGAAAGATAGATCAACATCTATGGCACTAATGGAATTAAGTGAGGAAATAGCAAACTGCTTGGACAATAAAAAACAAGCAGTGGGAATATTTATAGACTTACAAAAAGCATTTGACACCATATATCACAATATTTTACTGACAAAACTGGAACGGTATGGCATCAGAGGGGTGGGATTAGACTGGCTGAGAGATTATTGAAGCAACAGACAACAATTTGTTGAAATTGGTGAACATAAATCAGAATACATGAACATAACTTGTGGAGTACCTCAGGGGTCCGTGTTGGGTCCAAAGCTGTTCATAATATACATCAACGACATTTGCAGAGTATCAAATATATTGAAATTTATTTTATTTGCAGATGACACTAATATTTTTTGTTCCGGTGACAATTTGAAAGAGCTAATGGAAGTGATAACAGCAGAAATGATTAAAGTAAAACATTGGTTTGACACAAACAAACTATCATTAAATATAAGCAAAACAAAAATTATGTTATTTGGAAAACATAAAACAAATCCACAGGTGCAATTAATACTAGACAACATAAACATAGAAAGAGTATATGAAATGAAGTTCCTTGGTGTGGTTTGAGAGCACAACATCAGCTGGAAACCTCATATCACTCATGTCAAAGCAAAACTGGCTAAGACTATCGCAATATTGGGAAAAGCCAGACACATTCTGGACCACAACTCATTGTATTCTCTATATAACACACTCATATTGCCATATCTGATTTACTGTGTGGAGATTTGGGGAAACACGTACAAAACCAACCTACAGCCGTTATGCACATTACAAAAAAGGGCTATAAGAGTTATCAATAATGTTGGATATCTGGAACACACTAATGTATTATTTTTGAAGTCACACATATTGAAGTTCACTGATCTGGTTAAATTTAAAACGGCACAAATCATGTACAGAGCAAGACATAATCTACTTCCTAGGAAATTAAAAACATTGTTCATAGACCGAGAGGGTGGGTATCATTTGAGAGGAAATCTACATTTGAAACAACTCAAGGTCAGAACAACTCTGAGAAGTATGATAACAATCTGTGGGGTGATTTTATGGAATGGTTTGGAGCAGGAGTTAAAACAAAGCACAAGCATAATTCAGTTTAAAAGGATGCACAGAAACACTTTTTTGGAAAACTATGAGAATGAAGAGAGGTGATTGAAGATGAGAAATTATTGTATATGTATGTATAAATGTAAATGTAAGTAGGAATAACTTGCACAATGACTTAAAGGACAATCATTGATCAAGTAAGGGGTGGGAATTAATAAGCATTTGCTTCCTCCTGCTCCCTTTCGGACACATATGATTTATTTTTTCTTTTTAATAATTATTATTATTATTAATATGAAGATTTTTTTTGTTGAATATATAAATATTATCGTGAATGTGGATAAATACTGTATTTTAACAATACGGTATTCTGTTTTTTCACATTTGTTATTTTTTATTTGTTATTTTTTAATCTGTTCGAAATAAAGATTGAAATGAAATAATGGGGAGCTCATGAGTCTGTAGTACAGCACGTTACCTTTATAGGGACCTTACTGCCCTTTAAGACATGTGTACCTACTGTGGTATTCATCTATTATACTGTAATATATTTCACAAGGTAAAAAGAGTCTTTACATGTTTGGCTTGGAACCTATTTTGTTAATCATTCATTAATTTATGTTCTTATTAATATGCTTTAATAAGGTTTGAAATCCTGGACTTAAAATATTAAAATAATAACCAAGTGACAAGACATTTTTGCCAGAAATTGCTTGTAAAAAAACAGACTAATTCAGTTCTGAATATTATACACAAGAGTTACAGTACAGTAAGAGATCCAACGTTTTTTAATTAATCTTAGTGTCTCAGGTTTTATCAGGAAAGTGTTAAAGTTAAAGAAAGTAGACCAGGTGACTGGTAGATATTTACATTATCAGATTATTTATTTATTTATTGACAATGTAAAAGTGATCATGTGAGCAGGGAGCATGTGCTACAGCCAGAAACGTACATTATTTAAACAATTATGAAATCACAAAAACATTTTGAACATTAACGTCTGATCTTTGTACACCACATAGTACCTGCAGGCAGAGAGAGAAGGAAGGAGAGACTTGAATTCAATACTGAAGCGTTAACATCAGTGAAACAAATTAAACAGTGAACATATCACTGGTTCAGAGAAGCTGCTTGTTCACGGCGCCATCTGGTTCGTGTTCGGTCCTTTCTTCTTTAAAACCAGAACCCTGCAAAGAGGACAAATGCATCAGTTAGCCAAAACCCAAAGTCTTGCTGGAAACAACAAATGGAATATGTAAGATCACTGACATCATCCTCCTGTTAAAGAGACCTCTGATCTTTATCTACAGTACTGACCTTTGAGCTTGAGCCTCACCGATCTCTCCCATATGACGTCTCCGTCCCTTTCGACGGTGCATGTGTATGCACCGATATCTTCATGACTGGGGTTAATCAGGGTCAGACTGAGATCTCCAGCTTGCAGGGGGTTTTTCATCCTCTTTGTGCGGCCTCTGTAAGAGTCGTCCTGCTCCTCAGACATGTCTTGGCCATTCTGATACACATGAACTGTCAAGGAATTGGATAACTCGAAACGTTTCCATTTCACCGTCGCATCTGCAGGCAGCCGAGCTCTGGTTTTGAAGGGCAGTGTGACACATTTAGCCCGATCCCCGACCTTCACCACCTCCTGGGGGACTAAAAGGGAAAACAGACACTCAATTTAGAAACAGCAGCATTGGTGATACCATCTGATTTCATATCATTTCAGTCCATTAAATGGATAAATGGCTAATGGCTATCAGTGGTTATTAATATCCTAGATAAGGGTGAGAATGGGCCGTTACAGAATGTGTTGTAGTCAGAGGTTGCGCTAGACTTTTTCGCTGCCCGTCATTTTGACGGACAGGATCGTAAAATCTCCGTCAAAATCCAGTATTACCCGTCGGCCTTTACACAACTCTGACGAGGGGGGGGGAACTGTTTCATGAACTGTCAACTGAACTGTTAGTGCCGTCTTATGCATGCCCACTGCACCTTGCGGGAGCGCGCACAGCGTAAAGCAAAAACTTGCAGACATTTCAATGATTTGTACGGCAAAGTTAGGTTTGGAAACGGTATAATTTCCTTTTTGGCGGGCATGTGTGGCACCCCTGGGATGTGTGACCACATTAATATAATAAGTATTATATTTAGAGTTAGAATATGCCTTTATTTTGTACATCTGTTATTTTCATTTCACTAACGGGGTCGATAGATGCAGTGAGTAGTGAGGCGGAACGTTTGTGTTCGATTCAATGGTTCCGGGGTACCGATTAAAGCGACGGACGTTCCCGGGGTTTCCTCAGAAGTAATCTGGAAGGAAACTGAACACAAGGTGTCCTCATTACTTCTCTTTCACCTGCACGATACAGGTTGGTAAACTGTGCATAAATCACAATGAATCCCCCATAAGGTTTGCGAAGATAATATGTAACGGCCCGCTAACAGTTAGAAGACTTTGTAGCGCTGTTTACATGTGTAAAACCGTTAAATGGTGTGAGTGTATTAGCCTAGCTTCCCCGGTACGGCGCCATTTTGGGGACAACGTGGTCTGACGCAGTAAGGATACAAGTTTGTCAGTATATCTGAAGCCTCCCGTACACTGAGTATTTACATGCATGTATAGTGATTGTGAGTTTGTAATAAATATGTACTTTGTAAGGGTTATAAGTTAGTTACTGTTGGTAAAACAGTAAGGTTGTTTGTTACACTTAAATATGTTTCAGTAATGCATTTTAGTGACCTGCCATTAATGGCAGAAGGTAAATAGTCAATATGACAGGTTAGAGGGGTCATGAAATACTACTTTTAAGTGGAAGTAAAAAGAAGAGTAGTATTTAATACAGGTTAATACTGTATACAAATGTATTTAAGGTATAACAGATTTTATTGAATGTGAAATTCAATTCGACATATGTGTTTATCACATAAAAGAGTAACAGACAGACAGAGTGAAGGTATGTGAATGGTTATTGAGGAATGTAAGTCGAAGACTGAAATGCATAAGATAATTGATATGTTTATATGATTTTGTGTAATAAAACAACCTCAGGAGAAGTAATCTGGAAGGAAACTGAACACAAGGTGTCCTCATTACTTCTCTTTCACCTGCACGATACAGGTATCATAACCGTTACTGTGGTCCTCATATCGGGGACCCGTAACAGTTCTTGGGGGCTCGTCCGGGATCGGCGCCACCTACTGGTCGGGAGCTGATCCATTAATGACTTCTAGGACCAATACCGGAGCTGATGCGAGCAGAGAGCTGTAAGCTGGAGCAGACGTGGAACCGTTGCTGAACTGGGCGATCCATCGTGAGTGAATTGGAAGAGCTGCTGTCATGTCGGAGAGCCAAAGGAAAAGTCTGGTGTGGGACATCAGAAGAAGCCTACTCTCCTTGTCAGCGAAAGAACTCCTCCACATTGCCAAGGAAGTGGGTCCAGTGCCAGACCAGGAACCGTCTGAGCTCGAGGAGGGAGACGATGAAGGCTGCTTCAACTACATCAGTTTATTTATGCACAGTAAGCACTTGCTTGAGTCAGAAGATAGTGGGATGGCTCACTTGTTGATGTTGAAATATGCTATTGATGACATTGTGAAAGACAGAGAAGTAAGTGTACAGGGTTTGCCACATGTAGAACCACACTTAGAGATAAACACAGGTAACAACACTAAGCAGATATCTGAAGAAGAGACAGATCTCACCGCTTCTCCAGTCAGTTTTAATGCTGTAGGTGATAACACAAATACTGGGTTACTGGAAATGCTTAATAGCTATGAAGACCTGGGCAAAAGGTTAAGACAAAGCATTATGGCACCTACAACACAGACACTAGAACAACCCCCACTGTCACCAGCACACACTAGTAAGTCTCATCATAACATCCCACACTCACCAGCTCAGTCTGCTGCCCAGTCCGGCCCTGAGACAATGATCTCCTTAAGAGGACTCTCTTACCTCCAGAGGAGGGAGTTTAAGGTGCAAGGGGGTCAGGTTGGTGATAATTCTTCGGACATAAGCTATAACAATGTCTGTAAGCAAATCGAGGAAGGGATTAGAGAAGGCGTCCATGACGGAGACATAGTTCGTGGTGTGCTCCGAATCATACAACCTGGAACTTTCAAAGACATGCTAATAAATAAGGATGACCTGACAGTGATGGAGCTCAAAGGCTTTCTCCAGGCCCACTTAAGAGAGAAAAACAGTACGGAGTTATTCCAAGAATTAATGTGTGCTAGACAGGATGATAATGAAACACCACAACAGTTTCTCTACCGAGTGATAGGGTTAAAGCAACGTGTCCTATTCACCTCCAAACTGTCAGACGCAGGCATTAAATACAGTCCAGCTACTGTTCAAGATGTGTTTCTACATACGATCTTGCAGGGACTTGGATATAAACACAGTGATGTACGCAGAGAACTAAAGCCTCTTCTATCAAGTGGTGAGGTGAGTGATGAAACAATATTACGCCATGTAATGAGAATCACCAGTGAGGAGAGTGAGAGACAGAAGAGGATAGGTCCTTCTCGTCGGCAGGCAACAACTAGTGCTCATAGCGCACAACTTGAGCTTAACAAAGTCCAAGAGTGTGGCAACAAACAAGAGAGCACAGCACACAAAACAAAGACAGACCCAATAAAAGAGCTTGCAGCCAAGGTAGATGAACTAACCAGCATGGTTGAGGCTATGAGACAACAAAAGCAGCCACATCCGGCAGACATGATGAACCATAACCAATACTCTCAAAACAGAGTGAGACCCAGGAGAGAGAAACCTTTTGGTTGTTCAAAATGTGTCGAACAAAACCTGCCAGATTGTAACCACTGTTTCTATTGTGGGGATGGAGGACACAGGGCTGTGGGCTGTTTAAAGAGACAGGAGAGTCAGGGAAACTCAAGCCGGTCACTGCAGCGGGGTTGCCAGTGATCGGATCCACAATACGACCCCAAGCTGAACATTCTGGTGAGGCAAAAGCACAAACCAGTTGTGAGGGCAAAACAGTTGAAGTAGCTGGTGCCCAGAATAGTTACCAGCAAGATGGACCCTCGACTCAGTTTTCTTTTGGTTCACCAGGGGCGAAACGTAGAACTGTTGCCAAGCTGATAGGGAAAAAGTCGCTAATACAGTGTAATCTAAACGGATTGGCAGTGACTGCATTGCTTGACTCCGGTGCTCAAGTCAGTATCATAAGCCGCACCTGGAAAGAACAATATCTGCCTAATCTTGATGTTCGACCAATATCGGAGATTATCGAGGATCTGGACGAGCTGAAGGTGTATGCAGTTAATGGCGAGCTTATTCCGTTTGATGGCTGGGTAGCCATTATGACCAACCTGCCAGGAAATGAAGAACCCAGTCTTTCCATCAGTGTTCCATTCCTAGTCACAAAGTTGGCCATGGAGAGACCATTGGTTGGTTTTAATGTTTTGGAGGAAATCATTGAGGGACAGCCAGAACGATTGATATGCACTCTGGTTAAACTGCTTCGTGATGCCATCAGTGTTCCGGTGGAGAAAGCCGAAGCAATTGTGAACTTTATTCAGGCAGTTGAACCAAGTACGTCGCAGGGACGCCTAAGAACAGGTGTAAATGACATCGTCATTCCGGCTGGTCATGTCACCTGGGTGAGGTGTCGTGTTCCCCAAACCCTGAACCCCTCTGATCGTCTGGTGTTGTTTGAAGCTGATGAAGACAGTCATCAATTATCGCAGCTGGATTTAGGGACAGGTTTGTTTGAGATACAGAACCCTGCAAAGCCTTATGTCACAATTCCAGTAGGCAATAACACCAAACATGATGTCACCTTACCACGCAAGACAGCCCTGGGCGTAGTGCAGCACATTGAAAGGTTTGTGGATGCTGAATCTCCTGACAAGACAACATGTACTGCAACAGTCAATGAGGTCTCAACACAACCCCTTGAACCAATCCAAAAGCTGAGCCGATTCCACCCCTGTGGCACCCACCAGTAGACCTCAGTCACTTGGAGGAGGAACAACAAGAGATTGCCAAGAGAATGTTGTACGAAGAATCAAAGGCTTTTGCGAGGGACGGAAATGACATTGGCTGTAACCCTAGCCTACAAATGGTGATAAATCTGAAGGACGATATTCCAGTGCAAAGGACGTATACTTCCATACCAAAGCCGCTATTGAGGGAGGTCAAAGAATATATTCAAGACCTACTGGTGAAGGGATGGATTGTTAAATCCAAGTCTTCCTATTCTGCCCCTGTTGTGTGCGTACGGAAGAAAGATGGCTCTTTGCGCCTTTGTATAGACTATCGCCTGCTCAATCAGAAAACTACCAAACCGACACCCACTGCCTCGGATACGGGACCTACTGGACACCTTGGGGGGATACTCTTGGTTCAGCATCCTTGACCAGGGTAAGGCATACCACCAGGGTTTTGTGGTTGAAGGTTCACGCCATCTGACCGCCTTCATTACACCCTGGGGGCTTTATGAGTGGGTGAGAATACCGTTTGGTCTTACGAATGCACCAGCAGCTTTTCAGAGAAGTATGGAGGAGATGTTGTGTTCTTTGAGGGATGAGTGCTGTATCCCTTACCTGGACGACATCCTGTGTTACTCCCAGACCTTTGAAAATCATGTGCAGGTGGTTCGGAAAGTGCTCCAAGCGATACAGAGTCAGGGAGTGAAGCTCCGCCCTGAGAAATGTGAGGTGTTCAGGGGAGAAGTTCGCTATGTTGGACGCCTGGTCTCTGGTGAGGGTGTTCGAGTCGACCCCAAAGATCTAGAAGCTGTACTGGCCCTGAAAGCGAAAACACCGAAGACCGTAGGTGACCTGAGAAGAGTCCTCGGCTTTCTCAGTTATTACAGGTCGTACCTACAAGACTTCTCAAAGATAGCAAAGCCATTATACGAGTTGCTCCAAGTGAAAGCCTCAACACAAGCTCGACAGATCAAAGCTAAAGGCCCCCAGCTGTCATCCAGGGCGCCTATAGAGTGGACTGCTGTGCATCAGACTACACTTGAGGAACTGGTTGACATGTTAACGCATCCTCCAGTTCTCGGATACCCAGACTTTGACATGCCATTCGTCTTGCATACCGATGCATCGGAGCAAGGACTGGGAGCAGTTCTTTACCAAAAGCAGGACGAAAAGCTGCGAGTCATTGGCTATGGGTCACGAACCTTGACACCGGCTGAAAGGAATTATCATTTGCACAGCGGCAAATTAGAGTTCCTCGCGCTAAAGTGGGCAGTGTGTGAGAAGTTTAGAGATTACCTCTTTTATGCTCCTCACTTCACCATTTACACTGACAACAATCCACTTACTTATGTTATGAGCACGGCCAAACTCAATGCGGTCGGTCACCGTTGGGTGGGGGAGTTGTCAGACTTCCGCTTTAACATTAAGTACAGACCTGGAAGAATGAACATTGATGCGGATACACTGTCCCGTATCCCTCTTGATATAGACCACTACATGTCAACGTGCACAGAAGAGTTGTCGCAAGATGTGGTGAGTGCAACCTGGGAAGGAGGTCAAGCAGCTCAGAGAAAAGATGTTGCCTGGGTAGCTGCCCTCTCTGCCTCCTCCCTTGACGTTATCCCACAGCCGTGCACACCTCTACAGGAAATAAGTCACAATGAGTTGGTTCAAGCCCAAAGGGAAGACCAAACGATTGGAGAGATTGTAAGGCTAAAGGAAGTTAGTGATACACTTTCAGATGATATGAGGAGGTCAGTCAAGGGAACCGCGTGTAAGCTTCTCCACGAATGGAACCGTCTACACCTTGAAGATGGAATCCTATATCGGCGGACACCAGAGAGAAAACAGCTTGTCCTACCTCTGAAATATCAGTCTTTTGTCTTGAAGCACCTTCATGATAACATGGGACATGTAGGCACAGAGAGAGTCATTCAACTAGCCAGAGAAAGGTTTTACTGGCCTCATATGAAAAGATTCATAGAGGATTATGTGACAAAGAAATGCTGTTGCATTAAACAGAAGAAACCAACAGTCCATGTGCGTGCACCAATGAGCAGCATGAAGTCTAACTCACCCCTTGAACTGGTCTGCATTGACTATTTGCACCTTGAGAAAAGTAAAGGAGGCTATGAATATATCTTGGTGGTAGTCGACCACTTCACAAGGTTCGCACAGGCCTATGCAACCAAAAATAAATCCGGACGGACAGCAGCAGAGCGGATTTATAATGACTTTATACCCCGTTTTGGGTTCCCCAACAAACTACACCATGATCAAGGACGAGAATTCGAGAATGATCTCTTTCGAACACTCGGGCAGCTCGCTGGAGTAGGTCACTCTCGAACATCTCCTTACCACCCGCAAGGTAATCCAGCTGAGCGGTTCAACCGAACTCTGTTACAAATGCTGCGAACGCTGACAGACAAAGAAAAAGAGACATGGAAAGAACATCTTCCACAGGTTATACACGCGTATAACTGCACACGTCACGAATCAACCAGTTATTCGCCTCACTTTCTGCTCTATGGTCGTCAACCTCGTCTCCCTGTGGATCTCCTGTTCGGCCTGTCAGAGGAGACAGATCCAGTGACACACAAAGGATATGCTGAGAAATGGCGCGAAAGGATGACAGAAGCATATCGGATTGCTACTGATAACAGTCTGGCGTCTAGTGCAAAGGGCAAGTCCTATTATGATCAGAAGGCGAGGGGAGTGGTTCTGAAGCAAGGGGATAGAGTGTTAGTCAGGAACCTAAGTGAGCGCGGAGGGCCTGGTAAATTACGTTCCTATTGGGAGAAGAGGATATATGTGGTAAAGGAACAGGTTTCAGATAACCCAGTATATGTCGTCCATCCAGAAAGTGATGCGAAAGGGAAAACCAGAACCCTGCACAGAAACCTGCTTCTGCTTGTCAATGACTTGCCAGTGGAATTTCCACCACAGTTAGTCAAACCGACCCCAAAGCCATCACAGAAACAAGGAAGCCATCCAAAGAGACAAAGGGATGTGAGAGACCAAAATGCTGAGACATCTGATTCAGAGGATGAGTCAACAGGAGGTTACTGGTTGAGGATACCAGCAAATCGGGTTAAGCCTAACATAACAGTTACTCCAAAAAGACCATGTATGTTAAGAAGAGAACAGACATCAGTGTGGGAACCACATTCTTCTGAGGAGATGTTGGGAAAGACTACCAGGAACTCTGGTGTAGAGAGACGGCTAGAGTTCCAAACTTTACCTGACATGGACATTGCACAACGGGAAGCTGGAGAACAGGCTAAAGGTCTTTGTGAAGAAGAGTACTCGTCAGACAGGTGTGAACTTCAACTTGAGGATGAACCGGAAATCTCTCATCAAACTGAGGACAATGAGCAGACAACCCCTAATGTACCTCAGAACGAAGATGAGCAAGAGTTGCCTCAACGTGCATGTCCCGAGGAACGGGTACAAGACCCTGAACCTGACTCACCTGTCCCACTGAGACGGTCTACTCGGGAGAGACGACCAGGTCAAATCCTCACCTATTCATCTCTTGGCCTCCCAACATACCAGTCGGGTCCAACAGTAAATGCTATGGATACATACCTCATGCCCTACACTCACCTTTGGTATTCACAAACATGCCCACCATCATTCCACTACACACCCCTCATTCCATATCCCCATTCACTATTTACATGTCCCATACAAGGTTATTGAAAGGTCACACACAGTGTTAGTCCTAAGGGTCATACATGTTGAGGTGTGATAGTTTGGACATTGTAAATATTTGTGTTTTATGAAGATGTTAAAGTTATCTTGAATAGGAACATGTGATTTCAAGTAAGTGTCGGGAGCCACTTTTGTTGTCGGGGAGCGTGTGGCACCCCTGGGATGTGTGACCACATTAATATAATAAGTATTATATTTAGAGTTAGAATATGCCTTTATTTTGTACATCTGTTATTTTCATTTCGCTAACGGGGTCGATAGATGCAGTGAGTAGTGAGGCGGAACGTTTGTGTTCGATTCAATGGTTCCGGGGTACCGATTAAAGCGACGGACGTTCCCGGGGTTTCCTCAGAAGTAATCTGGAAGGAAACTGAACACAAGGTGTCCTCATTACTTCTCTTTCACCTGCACGATACAGGTTGGTAAACTGTGCATAAATCACAATGAATCCCCCATAAGGTTTGCGAAGATAATATGTAACGGCCCGCTAACAGTTAGAAGACTTTGTACCGCTGTTTACATGTGTAAAACCGTTAAATGGTGTGAGTGTATTAGCCTAGCTTCCCCGGTACGGCGCCATTTTGGGGACAACGTGGTCTGACGCAGTAAGGATACAAGTTTGTCAGTATATCTGAAGCCTCCCGTACACTGAGTATTTACATGCATGTATAGTGATTGTGAGTTTGTAATAAATATATACTTTGTAAGGGTTATAAGTTAGTTACTGTTGGTAAAACAGTAAGGTTGTTTGTTACACTTAAATATGTTTCAGTAATGCATTTTAGTGACCTGCCATTAATGGCAGAAGGTAAATAGTCAATATGACAGGTTAGAGGGGTCATGAAATACTACTTTTAAGTGGAAGTAAAAAGAAGAGTAGTATTTAATACAGGTTAATACTGTATACAAATGTATTTAAGGTACAACAGATTTTATTGAATGTGAAATTCAATTCGACATATGTGTTTATCACATAAAAGAGTAACATACAGACAGAGTGAAGGTATGTGAATGGTTATTGAGGAATGTAAGTCGAAACTGAAATGCATAAGATAATTGATATGTTTATATGATTTTGTGTAATAAAACAACCTCAGGAGAAGTAATCTGGAAGGAAACTGAACACAAGGTGTCCTCATTACTTCTCTTTCACCTGCACGATACAGGTATCATAACCGTTACTGTGGTCCTCATATCGGGGACCCGTAACACATGCATAACACGGCATTACACCGGAGCCTCGCTGCGGGGAAACTTTGGCGCTGTTCCGAGTTTGTTCTAATCTGTCAAAGTGACGGACTGCTTTCAGATTTTTCCGTCATTGTTAAAAAAATATTCGGTTAACGCGACCTCTGGTTGTAGTGTATGTATGCAAGTAGGAATATCTATTTAAAATGTAACCATGATAATCAACCTAATTTTTAACGCCTAGTTTTGGTGATAGATCTTAAACTGAAACCAAACACAATTAAAACTCTTTGGGAGTCGAGGTGTATTATGGGGCGGTGCGGCCATCTTTGGAGGATAGAGGCTAGCAAATGCAGCAGCAGTCAATATTTATCAGCTTTTTCTCATCCTTAATGAATAAACTACATGCGAAAGATAAATGTCTTTACAAAGAGAAGCTCTTCACTGAAGCAGAAGAGTATTATTAATATTATTTAATCAATGAATTAAGTTAAAGTAAAACAGGTTCATGCTAACTCGCTGTAGGCTTACAGGTCAGTCAACAGGTTGTGATCAGTAGTATCCTTTAAAGATGGCCGACTTGCTGTTGATGACGTTACATTCTCTATAACATGCTAGCAGCTGCAGTCTACACTGTCTGGTATACAAAATACTGACCATTGACTCGGAGCCGTACTACTTTCTGTGTCCAGACTTCTCTGTCCTTGTGGACGGTGCAGATGTAGGTTCCACTGTCTCTGTAGCAGGGCTCCCTGAGGGTCAGACTGAGGTCTCTGGTTTTCAGTGGTTCTTCCTGCATCTTTGTGCGATCACAATAAAACTCATCCTGTCTAACAAGATGGTTGTTGCCGTTACAATATTTGTGGACCCTCATTGGCTCGGGGGCGCAACGACTCCACTCCACGGTGACGTCTTCAGGCAGAGGGACTATGGTTTTGTAAGGAAGCTTGACAAACCACACCCCCTCTTTCACCACTACAGAAGAGACTGAGAGGACAACAAACACCAGCATCAGCAGCACGAACACACTAACTGTGATCTTAACAGGTCCTGTGACAACATACTACATACCTGTGATGGTTTTGAACCAACCCAAGGCAGCTACAGCCAGAGCAAGGCAAACAGCCAGCATAAGATATAACTCAGGAGGAAATGTGGGCCGTTCTGTTGGCAACATAATCAACAACATGACTTTCTCTTACTGTACACCAAACAGCAACAATATTCTACGTATAAACTTTTTTTTTTATTCTAATAAAGTAATAAGTAGAGTAGGGGTTAGGGTTTGTTCCTTACCTGTAACCTGCAGGCGCACAATTACCCTTAACATTTCCTTTTCCTTGTTATGGACGTGGCAGGTGTAGACGCCGCTGTCAGAGAGTTGGGGTTCTTTCAGAATGAGGCTGAAGTCTCCAGTTATCAGAGCATAAGTTGGCGTAGATGTTCGATCGCTGTAATGCTGGTTTTGAAAACGGGGCTCCTCTACGTCAAGATGCTGGTGGACGGTTGAGGGATTAAAACCGATGCGACTCCACAGCACTGTTGTGTCGTCGCTAGGAAACCAGGATGACTGGCAGGGCAGCTGGACTGACTCCGCCCCCTCATACACTCTAATGGTTGAGTTATGTTGGGGAACTGGGAGGACACACAAAATGATGTCTCAAATATTGATGTCAAACCTCCTCAAACCCCCCAGGACCAAGCTCCGTACTATGGGAGACCGGGCCTTCTGCTCGGCTGCTCCCAGACTGTGGAACGCTCTCCCCGACCACATGAGAGCACCACAGACCGTGGAAGCTTTTAAAAAAGGCCTCAAAACCCATCTGTTCAATAGAGTCTTTCCTTAGACCTTTTATTTGTTACTACCCTTTTATTTATTTGTATTGCTTGTTTTTACTGCTTTTTATTCATTCTACCGGGTTGTGTACTGTTTCTATATTGCTCACTGCTTGTAGCACTTCGGGATTTGAACTCAAATATGAAGTGCGTTATAAATGAAACCCATTATTATTATTATTATGTATATATTATCTAAAATAACTTATTTGCACGTCAAAAACATACAACCATTAAATGCACAAATACCTACACATATATGCATAGACATGTTTACGAACTTAAAAGGATATACCTGGCGTTCAGAGCATTAGTGTAGAAGCAAACAATGAATGTAAAGTCCAACGGGCAGCATGAGTGACAGGCTGGAGGCTGTCGGAGGGGCTGGGGTGAAAACAATTAAAGGACACCAGCTGCATGTGGGAGGGCACCAAGCTTTCTAGCATGTAGGACAGCCTGAGTTCCACTGCATTAATGCCACCTTAGAGAGAATTGTATCATGTTTTCCACACTAAATGTTTCCCTACAGGGCACTCTATTATGTTTTATCCACTGGAAGGGCACTTTATACCATTTTCTCTACCAATAGGGCACCGTAGATGACCCTTTATTGGGTTTTCTCTCCTGGATGGGTACCCTACATGGTACTGGTTTTCTCCACTAATAGGGAATCCTAGAGGACACTTCATTATGTTTTCTTCACTATTAGGCGTTAGGGGGAGCTTTATCATGTTTTCTTCGCTGAAAGGAAACCCTAGAAAGCACGATATAATGTTTTCTCCACTTACCCCCAACCTGCATGTTTAATGGGGGGGGTAGGGATGTTCCTTACCTTTGACCTGCAGTTCCACTTTGTATCGGGGGAATAATTCCTCTCCCTTTCTGATCCTTATGCAGAGGTAGACGCCACTGTCAGAGTGGTGGGGTTCTTCCAGAGTGAGGCTGAGGTCTCCAGTTTCCAGAGCATCATCTGACATTGATGTTCGGCCGCTGTAATGCTGGTTTTGAAACGGAGTCTGAAACCTATGTCGATGCTTGTGGACAATAGAGGGATTGGAACCGTGTCGATGCCACACCACTGTTGTGTCCTCAGTTTCCCTGGAGTCTTGGCAGGGCAGCTGGACAGACTTCACCCCCTCATTCACGCTAACAGTTGGAGATTGCTGGGAAACTTGAAGGAAACATAAAAGGATGTTTCAATTATAAATGTATTATTTTATTTGCTTGTTATTTTACACACACAAAAAATGTATATATAATAAAGTTTATAATATATTTACAAAGACATTTATATAAAGAGAAACCTTTTATCCTACAAATACTCAGAAACACTTGCATTTAAGAATTTACCAAAGCTAGATAACTAGATAAATGTCTAAGTGATCTAAATCAACTTAAATAAGAATAATTTACAACTTGCTCCCAAAAAAAGGGAACATGCAGACGGTACCAAATGATGGTGGTGGTAGAACTAATCAGATTATTTTACTTAATTAAAAGTATAAAATAAAACTTTGTAGAAATACTGTTACTAGTAAAGCATTCAAAATAACACTAAGAAAAGTATTAGCAAATGCATTTTACATATTCAATTGAAGTGGTCATATGAAACAGGAGATTAGATCTTTGTCTATTTCTATTATTGTTTCTAGGCAGTGACGCTCACAAACAAAAACACAAACTACATTTCATTGTAATAAATCATTCAATTAGATTTGAGCATCCTTGAAATGTGTTCATTTTAAATCAAGACTTTGGTTTCAGCTGCTGATTTACGAGGCTACATGAAACTAAAGCTGGAGACATGAGAGTAGAAAGAAGAAGGTAATCATACCGTGTACGAGGGTCAGAAACCCCACTAACGCCTTCATCTTCATGACGAAATGACCTAAATCTGATTCTCTCCGTCTCTTCTTATAAACTGATCAAAGTAACCGTCACTTTTAGTGTACTGAAAAGTGGCTCGCGGTTGACTGTCGCAGGAATCGGACGAATCAGGTTAAGGAAAACAAGCTGAATTTTATAACATCTGAGCAATAAGGAAGTTGACTGCAGCCGAATAGTCCAAAAATCAGCCCATATCGTTTATTCCTTAACCTCTGTGTGAAACGTCACGGGGTTAAGGGATAGTGGATAGGAGAATTCAAAAGAATTTAGGAGAAGAGACTGCGGTGTTTGGAGAATCCGACTGCACTTTCACTATCCGACGTGTTTATGATGCGCCAGCGGGCGTGATTAAAGTGCGTCTGCCGCTGTGGGGAAACTACAGTTTTCTATACAGCGGACTACATGGATGTATAATAAGAACGGCGGACGCATATAGATACTTTGCACCGCGCTCTGATGGTGTTGTTTTATGCTTTATGAACGTGGACAACAGAGAAACATTCTTAATGAACGAGGTTACAATTGAAATAAAAAAGGAAAGTGAAACTTATGCTTGTCACCAGGGACGTGCACAGACATTTTGGGGGGCAGGAGCTCAAGTGAGAAAAAGGGCACTTCCCATAATAATTGATAAAAACAAAAAGTTAAATATAGTTGCACATCTCTGACTTACTGACCAATTAATTGTAATACCCTCACACTCACGCAATTGTTTAATACTCAACAGAATTCTACAAAATAATCAGTTAACACAGAGACAATGGTCTTCTTTAGTATTCACTAAGCACAAGAGCAGACAACAAACTAGTACAATTAATAGTTATTAAAGGAGCAGCCAACAATCAAAATTATGAAGTTACTGTTTAAGGACATTACAGGCAAAAAGATCGTTATGTCTGAATTCACCTATAGATATAAAGCTAATCTCAAACCAGATTTTCATCACCACGCACAGCCGACAAAAACTAACGTTCATATTTCTCTTTTTGATTATAATACTGATGAACGTTCAAAACAAAGCACTGGTGCGCAGAGGTGGTAGAAGTACTCAGATCTTGTAGTTAAGTAAAAAAGTACCAGAGTGTAGGAATACTCTGTTAAAAGTAAAAGTACTGCATTCAGAATGTTACTCAAGTAAAAGTAGAAAATATTAGCATAAAAATATAGTTAAAGTACCAAAAGTAATCATTGTGCAGATTGGTCCATTTCAGAATAATATATATGATATGTTTTATAATGATTGATCATGAAAGTGTTCTCAAAGCTGGTAAAGGTGCAGCTAGTTTGAATGACTTTGTATACTGCAGGGTAGCTTGTGGATTTACTCCAGGTGGAACTAAAGTCTGATTTAACACTTGATTATATTTCACATCATTCATCCACATCTGTGAAGTAACTAAAGGGATTAAATACATGTAGTGGAGGAAAAGTACACCATGTACCTCTGAACTGTAGTGAGTAGAAGTACTAAGTAGCAAAACATTTAAATACTCTAGTACAAGTACCTCAACATTTTACTCGAGTACAGCACAATATAATAACATAATTATATATATATTTCATTTATTTCACATTTAAATAAAGCAATGTTAATTTTGTTTATCATTTGTTTAGTTTTTCCTTTTAACAAAAAGTACCTATAAGAATACCATTAAAGTACAGGATCGATAAGCAGTATCGATAAGAGTAGTAGTACCGTTAAAAACCTTAACAATACCCATCCCTAGATATTACACAAGTGTTAAGAGAGTGAAATGTTGCTTTACGAATGTCAACACTTGATGCTGTCACATTGATTCCAATTTCAGATACCTGTATTTGCCAAACTGAATTAGTTTAAAGAGAGAAAACATTTTGACTAAAAGCTGACTGAAATGTAATGATTTTTCATCAACTAAAACTAGACTAAAACTATGAAGGATAAAAAGGACTAAAATGTGACTAAAACTAATAACCATCAAAAATAGCCTCCAAAATGAACACTGCTTGACCGACTAAACTGTATATAAAGTGTTGAAAACGACTTCACCTGGAGCAGCTACAAAAGTAGAAATCTGCTCTGATGCTTCAGGATCAACAATGTGTTAATGTAGCATAGAATCAGATATCAGTCACATTTCACTGTTCTATGAGTACAGCATGAAGCTGAGGATACTTCTGTACTTTTACTGCAAGAAGATGAGAATACTTTTACTTACATTGATGTTCAAATGTTCCATTGTATAATGTTGAAGTTGGTTCATGGTTTCGAAGCATTTGTTGCAGTCATAAATGGCGACATCTGCTGGGCAGCTCCTTGTGGTACATTTACAAACCCAAAGAAAAAGAGAAGTCCTAAAGGTGTTTTCTGAATCCTCAAAGATTCAAAGATATCCAGATTCACATCTTTGTTTCCAAACCAAAACAAGGACTGCAACTGGTTGGCTACCTGGACAGCAAAGAAGTTTACTGTGTCTCCTTTAGGAAATCTGTCACACTGCTTAAAATATATCAAACAATTACTCTCACTTGTAATATTATAATATATGTAGTATTTCTAGTTTTTTTAACATATACTTCTTCCTTTTGATTCAGGAGGACTCCTGGTGGCTGCAGAGCTTCAGTGTCTTCAGTGAGTCTTTTCAGCGCTCCGTTAGAATAAAGACAGCTGATCTTCACACAGTCACACCTCCAGACAGATACTGCAGAGCTTGAATTAATGAACTGTATGTAATCATTCAGAAACAAACCTATCTAGAATGACTTTGATGTGACATGGACAGGCGGCAACTATTTGACTTGTTTACGATGACTTTAAGAGAAGTCTATGTTCTTTATTGTATACTATTTTACACGTTTTGGCTTTTTAAAAGATGGAAAAATATTTATAGACTAGCTGACTCATATTCGAATGAAAGGAGATAAAGATGACATACATGGCACTAGACCATTATGTAGGGAGTTTAAATACAAATAAAAATGTCTCTGTATAAAACCCCCTCTTTAATTCATAGCTAGTGAAGCATTTCTCATGTGAATGGGGTTGTGCTGGTTACATTTTGTCGAACATTAAAACCTCAGTATTCCTAAAATAGCTTTGGGGTGTGGTTACAGGTACAACCCACCACACCTGTGATGAAGGGTTAGGGTTAGTGTGAAGTTGTAGTCTTGTCTTACCTCATGCTTGCATTGACCCAGGTGTCTCTCCTCCTGCAGGTGTGGTTCGCACCGCGCTGTCCCGTCACTGCAGTCTGTGGCAGAAGGTGTTCATCGAGCCCATCGCCCGGCTGCTATTCCTGGACCCGGAGGCCGGCGCTCAGACCACACTGCACTGCTGCCTCCAGGAGGGCATCGAACCTCTGAGCGGGCCAGTGTTAATTTTGGCAGCTGTTTTTGATTTAGTCTTAGTCTTTAGACGAAAATGGTTATTAGTTTTAGTCACATTTGAGTCATTTCTATCCTTCATAGTTTTAGTCTAGTTTTAGTCGATGAAAAAATACATTTTAGTCAACTTTTAGTCAAAATGTTTCTCTCTTTAAACCAATTCAGTTTGGCAAATACAGGTTTCTGACATTGTAATCAAGGTGACAGTATCAAGTGTTGAAATTCGTAAAGCAACATTTCACTCTCTTAACACTTTACTTGTGTAATATCTAGGGATGGGTATCGCTAAGGTTTTCTACGGTACTACTAGTCTTATCAATACTGCTTATCGATCCGGTACTTTAACGGTATTCTTGTATTTACTTTTTGTTATTTTTTAAAGGAAAAAACTAACAAATTGTTAACCGAATTAATTGCTTTATTTAAATGTGAAATAAATGAAATATATATAATTATGTTAAAATGTTGTACTGTACTTGAGTAAAATGTTGAGGTACTTGTACTTTACTGGAGTATTTAAATGTTTTGCTACTGTGTACTTCTACTCCACTACAGTTCAGAGGTACATGGTGTACTTCTACTCCACTACATGTATTAATACCTTTAGTTACTTCACAGATGTGGATGAATGATGTGAAATCTAATCAAGTGTTAAATCAGACTTTAGTTCCACCTGGAGTAAATCCACAAGCTACCCTGCAGTATACAAAGTCATTCAAACTAGCTGCACCTTTACCAGCTTTGAGAACACTTTCATGATCAATCATTATAAAACATATCATATATATTATTCTGAAATGGACCAATCTGCACAATGACTACTTTTACTGTCGCTACTTTAAATATATTTTGATGATCATACTTTGACTTGAGGAACTCTTTCTACACTATGGTATTTTATTACTTAGCTACAAGATCTGAGTACTTCTCCCACCTCTGCACACCTGATGTGATAACGTTACTCGTAATTGGGGCAACAGAGCTACGAGTTAAGGAAGTCAAAAATGGTGCATTTCTCCGATTGAATATGACGCCTTTTGGCCGGCTGTTTGGACAGACTACTACAAACGAGCTTTGTCCACATCGAGCCTTGTAGAGTGTCTCTATACTCTCTGAACGCTCCTTCCCCGGCAGATCTCTGTGTGCCGCTGCAGCGTGTCTGTTAGGCCCCGCCCCCCGCACACACAGAGAGAGAGGGAGATCGCTCTTCTGGAGTGAAGAGAGCGGAAATAATGATATTGCAAGTTAGAAACGTAAGATGCATTTTGACAGACAAGACGGGCAATTGTGGGGAAATACCCTGCATTTTGAATGTCCGATAGTCCACCATTAACACCTTAGTCCGTCCGTCTCGTCTCGTCAACGAAAACTAAATATACATTTTGTCAAATTTTCGTTATCAAGAATCTATTTTTAGCTCGTCATCGTCTCGTCTTAGTCGTGTAAAAAAGGTCGTTGACGAACATTTTTCGTCATAGTTTTCGTTGACGAAATTAACACTGGAGCGGGCGCTACTTTGCCTGCTGCGCCGTGCAGGAATCGTGCCCGAAAGCCCGGGACGACGCTGTGGCCCGGAAACTGTGGGAGGTCAGCGAGAGGCTCTGTGGAATCTCTTAAAACACTTATCTTCTGCTGTAAATGGATTGTTAAGTCCAGGAGGGATCAAAGTTAAAAAACTCTTCACTCTGTCTTTGTTTTCCCGCCCTTTTTGTTTTCTTCCCGCCTTTTTGTGATTGTTTCCCCCGCCCAGTCTTTTGTTTGTCATTAGTTCTGTGTGTACATACGCCTCTCTTTCCCAGAGTTTTTCTGGGCGTTGATGTTTACCGTGGTTCTACTCATCAATGTTTCATCGATGTTTCTATCTACCATGTTTCCTTTCAGCTG